CTATTACTATTATTAATACTAATAGTAATAGTAGATTTAACATAGTAGTAGTAGTACTGCTACTAGTATATACTACTACTACTATTATTAATTTTAGTCATTAATTATTAAAAGCCATAAAGAACTCCACTGGATGCTGGAATGGAAGACATAATCATATAAGAAAAACAGTTTTTATTATTTTTAATTGAAATTTTTAATTGGAAACACATGGTACATAAATTAGAAAGGTAACAAACTAAACAGTAAATACACTAGCAACTTGACAGACAAATTACACATACACAGTAAGATATAGAGTAACACTACCATATCCTTTATGTATCAAAGGAGGAGTTACCATCTAATAAAGTCAACAGTTTACTTCAGTTACAAAACTTGAATGGAGCAAATATAAGAATTGAAGCTATGTAACAATTAATGATATACAGTAAAGTTATTCAGAGGCCACTTATAGAAGAAATCCTTCAGTCTGAGACCTATGCAATAATGAGAGATGAAAGCACATATTTATCAATACAGAAAAATTTATCAGTATGTATAAGGTACGTGACGAATGGTGAAGCAGTAACAAAGTTCTTAACAAACACTGAGAATGGAAATGCTCACACCATTATTAGTCAACTGATAAGGTGCCTCACTAATTTCGGGTTTGACCCAGCTAAAATTGTTCCTCTAGCATCAGATAGGGCATGAACAATGACAGGTAAAAAGACAGTTGTTGGTGTGAAAACGAAATCAAAGTACTGCCCCTTTGCATTACAAACCCATTGTATTGCCCATCGCCTAAATTTAGCTGTGACAGATTCAGTTAAAAAGTTAGACATTCTCAAGACGTTTAAAAACAAATTTAACTCTTTGTATTATTTCATGAGAGGGTCAAGTAATTGTATTTCAAAACTCAATAGTATTCAAAAACTGTTAGGTGAGCCTGAACTTACAATAAAAGAGCCACATAGCATAAGATGGCTTGGGCTTAAAAATTCTATTGAAGCTGTGTGTGAGAGTTATAACTCAGTCCTGGTTACCCTTTCAAACTTTGCATAACTAAAAAATGCTAATGCTTATGGTTTGCACAAATACTTTTCAGAATATAAGACAGTGATGCTAGTGTCATTTATGCTAGATATTCACAATGTTCTTGTAGTGAGCAATTCCAAAAACAAAATTTGGTATTTAGTGAAATACACCCATTTATGGAAGCAACAATGGCTAAGTTAGGTTAGGTTTTCTAGAATCAGGAGGTGAAAATTCTGTAAAGAGTATGAGAAACTGCACAGAACTTAGGAAGAAGGAAAACTAGTGCTTTTATGAATGGAGAAAAGTATTCTGAAAACGTTGAAAATGAATTGTCAGACCTGAAAAAGAGGTACATATCAAGTCTAAAAAAGAATATAAAACAAAGATTCAAAAAGAAGATAGTGAGATTTTAATACTTTAACCTGTTGCTGGAACCAGTGGTGGTAAATTCAGCAGGTACTGGTAAAAGTGAAGAATCTCTTGAGGCTCTTGCACTGTTATATGGAACTGACCAAATAGTAAATGTTGTTCATGGCAGTCTCTAGGGGGAGGATGAACAAGGAGAAGAACAAAAACAAATCAGCAAACTCTTAGACAAAGAAAAGCTCAAGCAAGAGTGGCCCATGCTAAAAGGTATGATTTCAGGCTCATATAAACAATAACCTACTCAGAGTCTGTGCGAGAGGGTTATACAAATGCATAAAGAAGTGATGCCTGAGCTTGCAAAGTTATGTACAATAGCTTTATGTATAGCTGTTACAAGAGTTGAGTGCAAAAGGAGTTCCAGTGCCTAAAATAGAATAAAAAACAAATACAGATGTTCAATGAAAGCAGAAACTCCAGACAGTCTTTTGAATATTCAAATGAGTAATATTCAGTTATCAAATTACGATCCAGTTTGAGAAGTCAGGCTATGGGTTACAAAAAAGAAAATAAGAAATGGATGGCTTTGTCATATGCTTAGGGTTAAGAAGCCAAAGGAGTGTTTCAGCTCTCATAGGAGTTGTTGAACAAGTACAATATATTAGTTTAACATGTAAATATGTTATAGACGTTTATGCAGTTTAACATGTAAATATGTGAAAAACTTTGAAGTTAAACAGTTAAAAGTTCTTAGTATTCGTGCACAGGAAGTGCTGGAATCTTTTTAAATCAAGTTACAGTTCAGGGTATATTATTTAGCAGAGGCAGAGTTGTAAGAGACTTGGACACAAGAAGTGCAAAGATACTAGTCAGTTATTTGTATTCATTCAGCTGTGATGTAAAGACTTAAGCTAGTCATATTAGATTTTGAGCAGACTAGTCAAACTACACAGACTATTTTTGTGATATAGGACTGCAGGGGAGTATTTTAAAAAATAATGTCTTCTTTCTACCTTTAGACTGAAGACTACCTCTATGTGGCAAAGCAATGTCAAGGTAATGATTTGTACATGTACCTTTTTTCTCCTTAAATAAAAATATTTACACATTATAAAGCCTTAGTGTTAGGCTTTATAATATGTAAGAAAAATTTGTACTTTAAGGAGAAAAAAGGTTGACTGTTTTAAATACTCACTGAAATTTTACTTTTCAGCATTTAGTTGGATTTCAGGGAGTAAATACTAATTGACCTAAAATCTTATCTAGAGCTCTGCCTATGGTGGAAAGGTTGCCATGTGAGATTAAGATAATATCTCTGAAATTTTCTCTTGAAAAAAAGTAGAGTAGAGGGTTTCTAATTTAGTTATTTAAGATTGTTTAGGGAATTGATAGTGTTTTTATATCATCTTTCTTTGTACTTCATAGTGAGAATGGTAAGACTAGGGGACACAAGTATGAATTTTTGCAGGGTAGGAATCATATTCAGCTAATACAGCTTTGTTTTTCTAGCAGAGTGGTTGACCTTTGGAATGGGTTACCTTTAGATGAGGTAGATGCAGTTACTTTAAGGGAGTTTAGAAAAGACTTGATAAATATTTAAATAAGTGTTGGTTTGTGTGTTTTATTTTTATTTTAGAATTTAGTATAGTGGATTGGGTGGTTTAGATGCATCAAGAAGTCTCTTGTTGCCCTTAACTTGTATATATAAATAAAATAGGCCCTACGTGTATTCGTAACCGTACTGCTGATGTTGAAAGCTTTCAAAAGGCATTGTTCTTAACCTGAATATTACTTGATTATTTCTTAAAGTATTTTGAGTTCCATTAAAAGATGAATAGGGTCTCCCATCTCTCACTGTTTTACCAATCAACCATATCAGAGGTACTATTCTTGTTGTTTCTTTACTTAACATAAAGCAAGTTGCAACATTTTGTAATTAGAATGAGGAGTTATGTAAACATTGTTAGTTTTTATAAAGTATTAATTTGGCTTTTTGTGTATATCTCACAAAAATTGCAAAAAGTTATTTCTAAAATTTGATACATTTTATATGGCATTTAAGAGCCAAAGTCATCAATGTGATATTTATCTGATTTTATAATAAATTAATAGATACACAAAATACTGTTTCTTATTTCACAGAAAAAATTATACCACTTTTATTAGTGAAAATTCCATCCAGTTGTTTCTGAAGTAGAGCACTGTGTAAGTTAATCAGCTCTCTCTGTACATCCACATTTAGTCTTTAAAAAATAAGATTTTGTTCATTTTACAATAGAAATCAAGAAGTATAACACATGCATGAAAAATTGTTTTAACATCAACTATGAATGAATTCAATGTGTCCTCAGGCAGTTATTCTTAATTATTGCTTTAAGAAAGTAATTCTATAAGATATGTATGAGGATTGATCTAAGCCCAATTTTTTAACAATTATATTTTCTAAATGAACTGTTATTACAGTTAATTGACTATCAGATAATATTTCTGCTAAAAAGATAGTGTTATTTTTCCCCTACTTTACTTAGTGTCATTTAGAAATTTCCTTTGACTGTGATGGTTTTGCAGAATGACTGAGATGAGGATTGTTAATGGTATAATCGATTGGACTATTATTCTCATTGAGAATAATAATCTGAATAATTATACCATTAATGTAGTGGTTGTTTACCAGTACAAAATATTGTTTGTTTTCAGATTAGTTATTGTTTCATTATTTAAATTTTATATACGGAGAAACTATCAAAAAGTGTGTAACAGTGTGAGTGAGGATCAGAATTGTATCAACACATTTACAGAAAGTTAGCAGAAATATTGATTGAAGTAAAAATACATCTATTTATTGAGCTACATTATTCAGTTTTTTTTAGAAATATATAGAATAAATGTTTTATAATTCATTCCATTGTCCACAGAAGCAGATTCTTTAAATAAGTATAACATAGGGGTCTAAGTAGTTGTAGTATATTAATCATAATTCTAAAACATACTTTCCTCCTCTCACACTACAGCTATTACTCAACTGCTAGGGTTCCTTCCTTTACCCATCTAAGCATTGGTTTTA